TTTCATAAGCACACAATAAAGAGTTTTCTTGCATAATGGACATTTTTCATGCACGATGAACAATTTGTAAATACACTATGAACATTTTTAAAATAAATACTGAACATTTTTAATACATAGTTGAACGTTTTATATATACACGATGAGCAGTTTACAATAGACCGTGAATATTTATAAAATACGTGATTAATATTTATGAAGTACTTGATGACACGTTTTTAGGCAGACGATGACATTTTTATAAGACGCACTGAGATTTTTCACATGCACATTGACATTGTTTAATATATAGTACATACAATGCTATATATTTTGAAAATCATGGGAAACTGTTTTTAATTACACATAAATTTACTATACTGACGAATTTTTTTCGGTATACGAGAACATTGTTTTAAAAATACAAGAATATATCTCTTTTGTATGGTGATTTTTTGTTGCGACGACGTCTGCCCCAGCGCCGGCGCGGAGCTTGGGAGGTAGTCATGTTAGTCTTTACATGACTTGTACTTTGATCTTTATGATATGAATGAGACACGTTTTACCATGCCAAAAAAATAGACATGAAAAATCTTTATATCCGTGAATACTTTTTGAAATAAGTGGATATTTTATTTTGTAAACACTTGATATTTGTGTAATTTGCACAAAAAAATAAAAGTAAAAAATAAAAATGATTAAAAAAGAAGAAAATAAGGTGCTGCTAGGCCTAGCGCAGTGCCACGCACTTTAGGCGACTGCCCCCATCGGAACTCCCTTCCCATGGCGACTCCCTTCCCATGGAAGATGTGTCTTCTTTTTATTTTGATACTATCTCCAAACTTTGTGACGACATGATCAGATATTATCAGATTGTAGAGAAAATCTAACATATATTTGCTTGGATTACCTAGCTGCAAAGCATAATCTGAACTGCAAGACACATCCACACCTATTCATGTGGTACCAGGAAATTACCGAAACTCTTTCTACAGTCTTCGGTGCATGCTTGGAGAAGAGGCTAAGATGAGAGGCTTCAATCTGGAGATGACAAGGATAGTCACCTGGTGCAACTAAAGGTTCGGTTTCATACTTGTCAAGTTGTGATGATATTGTTCAGGTAGTACTCCCTGACTGATTTCACTTGCACTATTTCTTCACAGAAGGTACTAAAATATCTTGTCATGCTAATATTTAATTTCTACTAATACTTTGTGAAAATACTCAGTTTTCTTTTACTAAAATATACATGTTTACTTTTGTACTAAAATGTACCTTCTTACAAAGATTTCATAGGAAGGAGGAGGTTAAGGGAGCAAAAGGCATGTGGAGACAAGAGCCAGCTCAAGGAGAAGTTAACCCATAAATTACTTAAATAATAATTTAATAAACCTCTAATTTACCTACAAAATAAAAGGCCTATGATGAAAGAATAGCATCCAGAAAAAAATACAACTAGATAACGGTTGTAACAACAAGAAAATATATGACCAAAAACATAACTGAAGAAGTGTGATTAAGGGGGAGCTTTGGAATAGATAAAAGCAGACTCAAGCACCAATAGGATATGAAAATAGCAATGCTCATCCAGACTCATCTCTTTGGTTCTAACAGTTGCATAACTCTAGGGGTCCCTAACGGCTCTGTACATCCCAGTCATAGTGAAATTTCAGTTTTCAGTTCACAAACATCTTTTAGAGAAGTAACATTACCACACATGGCCATTGCTAAACTGAAAATGAACATGAGGATTGTCCAAGGTTCCACCAAATACACAAACGACACCTGAACAGGTGCGGAAGGGCACATATCAGTATGGCCCGTGTGGGGTTCGGGGATTACCATTTTTGCGAGCTCTGCGAGGACGCTGGAGGCGCGGTCGGCGTGGCGTCACGAGAGGCAGTGGTGGATTGCGTCGACCTGCGTGCGGACCCTGCCGGGCGACCGCCTCCTGGGAGTGGCGGCAGAAGATCTCGGGGCCGAAGGAGCCCTCGTCGTCCTTGTTGTCTTCACGGTCATCGGCGTTTCCGAGCGGCGACGAGACGATGGCGGCGGCGGCCGAGACAGACTGCGCTTATGTGCCTTGCATCGCGAGCGCTGGGGTGCTTGTCGAAGGCGTGGGAGGGGGAGGGCAGAAGCAAAGAGGTGGGCCGGTGCAGGGAGAGGAGGGGCCGGACGCCGCCGTCGAGGGGAGGGGAGGCACCATGGATGGGAGTAGCTATGAGGGGAGAAGGTGAGAGGAGCGGCTCTGAGTGGAGAAAGTGAGTGGCTATACTGTGAGGATAAGTTTTTTTAGTTTGTGAAAAATTTGGTTTGTCTCACTTTTATTTACATGTTTATAATATAAAAATGTCATTTATATGTTTATATATTTATATGCTTCAGATTTGTGGATAAGTGTTTCAACTGATGGATTCGGATGAAACTCTCAAAATGTCAACTGAGACTGCCATTGATGTAACGATATCATCAAGTTTTACTCAACTACCAGATGAGATGCATACAAATAACTATTATTTTTTGTATGTGTGATGCACATGATAACGTAAAGGGTGTATTTTTATATATGTTTATTTTTGAAGAATGAGATGGATTATGTCGATGTTTAAAAAGAATCCATCGACAAGGGTCCCGAGGCGACGTCGTTCGGAGGAGACAAAAATTCAGCGACTTTTATAGAGAGTGAAACGCGTGCAAGCGAGGATAGCCCATAAGAACATTAAAGGCAAAATAAATAAATGTTACACATAGGATATTGTTTTTACTGTGATTACCATTCTGTTCTTTCATCCATTTTTTTTATTCATGTGATTTGGCTCATTGTGATATCATAACAGCAGATTATGTCTGCACCCCTAAAGATATTACCATCATTGCATCAATCATGTATGTTATAAAAAAAGTTTGCAAAACATTAACATTGCCAATGAAATGGATTTAAATTATTTTCCATTTGTTATCTTTTATATACATGCAAATTTTAACACCCGTTATGTTTATATATAATACCAGCAAAATATTTAATTGGCCGTGGTGAGTATTCTCCGTTACACATTTTAAGACCTTCAACATGAAGTATTCGTGTTAACTACATATATTGCTTGTGTAAGATGGTTATGAGTTGAGGAAGAAGTTTTTATTATGCTTGCTCAAATATCATCCAAATAAAGCTAAAAACAACATTACTGATATTGTGCGAGAATTTTTTAATCGAATTAAGAATATCTTAATTAGTAATAATTCTTAGTTGGATCATCCCTCTTATGTATGAATCATCAACTTGCTTTTATTATCTATTTATATTGCAAGTAAAGTGGACTTCAATTATTACGCGGTTGCGCTCGTGCTATTGTGTCTTTATTACATGTAAAATTTAACATGTGTTTATATAACTCCAATGAAATATTTCAAAAGCCCGTGGCAACGCACGGGCATTCTACTAGTTTTCATAAATACACAATAAAAGAGTTTTCATGCATAATGGACATTTTTCATGCACGATGAATAATTTGTAAATACACCATGAACATTTTTAAAATAAATGCTAAACATTTTTTAATACATAGTCGAACGTTTGATATATACACGATGATCATTTTACAATAGACCATGAATATTTATAAAATACATGATTAATATTTATGAAGTACTTGATGACACTTTTTTAGGCAGATGGTGACATTTTTATAAGACGCACTGAGATTTTTCACATGCACATTGTTTACATATATAGTACATACAATGCTATATATTTTGAAAAATCATGGGAAACTGTTTCTAATGATACATAAATTTACTATACTGACGAATTTTTTTTCGGTATATGTGAACATTGTTTTAAAAATACAAGAATATATCTCTTTTGTATGGTGACTTTTTGTTGCGACGACGTCTGCCTCAGCGTCGGCGCGGAGATTGGGAGGTAGTTATGTTGGTCTTTACATGACTTGTACTTTGATCTTTATGATATGAATGAGACACGTTTTACCATGCCAAAAAAATAGACATGAAAAATCTTTATATCCGCGAATACTTTTTGAAATAAGTGGATATTTTATTTTGTAAACACTTGATATTTGTGTAATTTGCCCCAAAAAATATAAATATAAAAATGTTAAAAAAAGAAAATGAGGCGCTGATGGGCCTAGCGCAGTGCCACGCACTTTAGGTGACTGTACCCACCCCATCGGAACTCCCATGGTGACTGCCCCAGCCGCCGCCGCCGCCGCCGCACTCACCCGCGACGAGGCCGCCCTCACCGCCGCCATCGGCTGCTGCGCGGCCGCGCGCTGCGCCTCGCCAGCTAAAGACGAGGCCCACGTCGCAGCCGACCTCAAGCGGTCCTCCAATCTTGTTGCTGGAGACGGAGGAGGCGCCTCCGCGCCGGCCGCGCTCCGCAAGATGCCCGCCGTGCACGGGACTTTTCGCTTCCGTCAGGACTGCTGGGGAAGTGGGACGCCGCTGCCGCTGAAACCATGTGGTCGCAAAGAAGAAGTCTTCGAGCATTTACATAGAAAACAGGGGTTTCTTCTTTACTTCGCTAAGACAATCAAACACGTACAAAGCAGGAGTTCCTGGTAAAATAGGTTAACACAAACTCTACATTGTCTGCATGCATTTGAAGGCAATCTACCTTCCTAAAACTCCAGCACTTTGGGCAAGAGACCTCCATACACCAACTGAACCATGTGACTGCTATTTAGTTAAATGTAGGGTACAGAAATCTCGATCAAACACGTACTGTGGAATATATACATACCATAGCCGAACACGAGGTAAGTTCAAAAAGGTAAATAATAAGGAAGTACCATTACAATACAAGTACAAATTACAAGAATGAGTGACGGATTCAGCAGTACCACATACATATGCATTACAAGAATCAATAATGGATGCAGTCTGTTTATTTAGCCCTCAAGAAGGCGATGCAGACTTGATGAAATAATCCCCACTTAATTATACAGTACGTACTAGATGATTTGTTGGTCAATCAAAAGATAATGTGACATATTCCAGTATCTTCACTCGGTGATTATCTTTGGCCACTTGTTGGCGTACTTTTCATCCAAGTACTTGGGGGTGTCCTTCAAATCTTGTACCAAGAACTTGGTTATTTCATCTGCTTGATTACCAATACTGAGATGCACCTCTTGGAGGCTCTTGAGAGTCTCAATGCCGTAAATCCCTTCAAAGGCTTCAAACCGCATATCAATCCTCTCCAGTGCTGGCATGACCTCTCTTCCTGTAACTGCAAAGCTCAGCCTTGGCACCATAGTTGCAAAGAACCGAAGCAGCTTTAGACTCTTGAATCCTCCAGGTGGAATAATGATCTCCCTGTCGGTAAGCTGTTTATTTTCCTCAAGAATGTCCACTATGTCCCTATCATCCTTGGCTGCACTGAGTGTAAAGGTGAGCGTAAACAATTTGGGCAGGTCCTGGATGAGCTTGAAAGTATCAGTCCGAAGAACTGTCACAGAAAGGGTCATCTTATAGAGGTTATTGAGTTCTTTGATCCACTTTGGGGGCCTTTCCATCTTGCCAGACAACTCTAGGCCGATGATGTATCTTGGAGGAGTGGTCATGGTGTCTAGTGAGTTGATAAAATTAGAGATCTCATCATTGATTGCCAATGTCAGCAGACCGCAGCTACAGAGGTACTCAATGGAGGAGCGTAATTGTTTGAAGGTCTGAGCGGCCTCCCTTATATTGAGCTTGTAAATGGCAAGTTTCCTTAGCCCTGTCAGCTGAGGAAGGCTTGCTACAACTGATGAGTCCTCATCGATCTCAATCCCTGACAAGATACGAAGTGCTTTCATCGGCTCCTTGTTCTTCTCATGTGGCAACTTCAAAGCCTTCTTTGTGTTTTTGTTCCCTCCAAGCATGCTACGGAGCTGTTTGAGCTGTCCAAAAGCTTTTGGCAGCACCCCGACATTTGTCTCCCTTATGTCAAGAGTTTCTAGATACTCGAGCTTCTCGATCTTTGATGGTACCTCAGAAACCTCTGTTCGTCGGAGGCTCAAATACTTCAACACGAGCATTTTACATATGTCATTCATATGCTTAACTGTCAAACCCTTCCATCCCTCAAGATCGAGCACTTGTATTATTTCATTGTTGAACGAATGGAAAGGGAGCCGTCTGTTCTGGCTTCCAAACACTGTCAGTGACCGCACTTGAGACAAGTTCATGCCTTTTGTTGAATTCCCATGCTTGTAACCACTGCTTTTTATGGAGAGTCGACGAACTTTGTTGCTAGGAGTTGGCATCAGCCAATGTCCACCAACAACAGTAATAGAATTCTCTTCGCTTGACTTGGACACGATATATTCCAGGATCATGTCATGAACTTTAAAGGATTTTACCTTCCCGTTGCTGCTGTGATCCACAGGGCGTATTATCTTCCTGCTTACAAGCTGATTGAAGTATGTTTCTGCCACTTCCTCTGCACTCAGCCCTTGCTTCTCAGCGACGAAACATTCTGATATCCATCGCTGGGTCAGACGCTTCTTACTAACTTTCGAGCCCTTGGGGAATATGCTCAGATACAATGAGCAGGTCTTGAGATCTGCTGGCAAGTCATTATAGCAATAATCAAGTATCCTTGTGACCCCCTCCAATGTAAGGGGAGCCACCTGCTCCGGAAATAATGACTTGCAAAATTTACTCCAATGATCATTGTTTTTTGTTGGGTTGCAAGCCACAAGGCCAGCCATGGTGACTATGGCCAAAGGCAGCCCCCCACAATATTTCCATATCTCCTCATGGACCTCTTATATCTCCCTTTCTTTGCTTCTCTGTGGATCAGAAACACGGTCATCGAACGGACCTTTGGCATTGGCATCACTTGGGACATCGGCTGAATGCAGATGATCCGTTCCATCTCCTTCAGAGGACTCAGCACCAACAGCTTGAGATCTTGCATCCATTCTTTCGCTTTCTTGGCTGCTTGGGGATTCAGAAACACCCTGATGAAATAGACTTTTGGAGTCGGCATCACTTAGGGCATTAACTGTATGCAGATAATTAGTTCCATCTCCTTCTGAGCAAGCCGCACCAACAGCTTGAAATCTTGTAGTTACTATTACTCTACTATCCTTATTATTATCATGTGGCAACCAATTTCTAATGGTCTCCCATGTTTGTACAGACCATATATCATCAATCAAGAGGAGATACCTGCCAAAAAACAGGAAACAAAATACAAGTGAGAACAAACATCCTTAGCTTATTTAAGTTCATACCACTGAGAAAAAAAAATCCTCCGAACAGTCCAAGAGAGCCTTATACATATTCAGATTCAACACAAATTCAACTAGTTCGACCCAACCTATGTCCAAATTGCCATATTTTTATGAATTGGATGGATATAATTTTATGATTTTGATTCTACTTTTCAGGTACAATTTTAGTATGTTACCTGCTATGTTTTCTATAGAAATTTTTATTTATACTCGACTAGGTTCAGCTATAAAATTTGCTATTCGTAACAGTTGAAGTTCAGTTATAAAATTTCCACAATTATTCCTTGTGCAACCTTTTTTTTTGACGAAACTTCCTCGTGCAACTTTAACTATTAATATTTGGTGTTTATTTTATCAAGGCTCCACTAGTTAGATAAGGTTTCTATTTTCTGAAAAATATTCCTTTTCTCATTCATTATTGTACATACTTATGGTGACCTCTCTTCCTGTAACTGCAAAGCTCAGCCTTGGCACCATAGTTGCAAAGAACCGAAGCAGCTTTAGACTCTTGAATCCTCCAGGTGGAATAATGATGTCCCTGTCGGTAAGCTGTTTATTTTCCTCAAGAATGTCCACTATGTCCCTATCATCCTTGGCTGCACTGAGTGTAAAGGTGAGCGTAAACAATTTGGGCAGGTCCTGGATGAGCTTGAAAGTATCAGTCCGAAGAACTGTCACAGAAAGGGTCATCTTATAGAGGTTATTGAGTTCTTTGATCCACTTTGGGGGCCTTTCCATCTTGCCAGACAACTCTAGGCCGATGATGTATCTTGGAGGAGTGGTCATGGTGTCTAGTGAGTTGATAAAATTAGAGATCTCATCATTGATTGCCAATGTCAGCAGACCGCAGCTACAGAGGTACTCAATGGAGGAGCGTAATTGTTTGAAGGTCTGAGCGGCCTCCCTTATATTGAGCTTGTAAATGGCAAGTTTCCTTAGCCCTGTCAGCTGAGGAAGGCTTGCTACAACTGATGAGTCCTCATCGATCTCAATCCCTGACAAGATACGAAGTGCTTTCATCGGCTCCTTGTTCTTCTCATGTGGCAACTTCAAAGCCTTCTTTGTGTTTTTGTTCCCTCCAAGCATGCTACGGAGCTGTTTGAGCTGTCCAAAAGCTTTTGGCAGCACCCCGACATTTGTCTCCCTTATGTCAAGAGTTTCTAGATACTCGAGCTTCTCGATCTTTGATGGTACCTCAGAAACCTCTGTTCGTCGGAGGCTCAAATACTTCAACACGAGCATTTTACATATGTCATTCATATGCTTAACTGTCAAACCCTTCCATCCCTCAAGATCGAGCACTTGTATTATTTCATTGTTGAACGAATGGAAAGGGAGCCGTCTGTTCTGGCTTCCAAACACTGTCAGTGACCGCACTTGAGACAAGTTCATGCCTTTTGTTGAATTCCCATGCTTGTAACCACTGCTTTTTATGGAGAGTCGACGAACTTTGTTGCTAGGAGTTGGCATCAGCCAATGTCCACCAACAACAGTAATAAAATTCTCTTCGCTTGACTTGGACACGATATATTCCAGGATCATGTCATGAACTTTAAAGGATTTTACCTTCCCGTTGCTTCTGTGATCCACAGGGCGTATTATCTTCCTGCTTACAAGCTGATTGAAGTATGTTTCTGCCACTTCCTCTGCACTCAGCCCTTGCTTCTCAGCGACGAAACATTCTGATATCCATCGCCGGGTCAGACGCTTCTTACTAACTTTCGAGCCCTTGGGGAATATGCTCAGATACAATGAGCAGGTCTTGAGATCTGCTGGCAAGTCATTATAGCAATAATCAAGTATCCTTGTGACCCCCTCCAATGTAAGGGGAGCCACCTGCTCCGGAAATAATGACTTGCAAAATTTACTCCAATGATCATTGTTTTTTGTTGGGTTGCAAGCCACAAGGCCAGCCATGGTGACTATGGCCAAAGGCAGCCCCCCACAATATTTCCATATCTCCTCATGGACCTCTTATATCTCCCTTTCTTTGCTTCTCTGTGGATCAGAAACACGGTCATCGAACGGACCTTTGGCATTGGCATCACTTTGGGACATCGGTTGAATGCAGATGATCTGTTCCATCTCCTTCAGAGGACTCAGCACCAACATCTTGAGATCTTGTATCCATTCTTTTGCTTTCTTGGCTGCTTGGGGATTCAGAAACACCCTGATGAAATAGACTTTTGGAGTCGGGATCACTTAGGGCATTAACTGTATGCAGATAATCAGTTCCATCTCTTTCTAAGCAAGCCACACCAACAACTTGAAATCTTGTAGTTACTATTACTCTACTATCCTTATTATTATCATGTGGCAACCAATTTCTAATGGTCTCCCATGTTTGTACATACCATATATCATCAATCAAGAGGAGATACCTGCCAAAAAACAGGAAACAAAATACAAGTGAGAAGAAACATCCTTAGCTTATTTAAGTTCATACCACTGAGAAAAAAAATATCCTCCGAACAATCCTAGAGAGCCTTATACGTATTCAGATTCAACACAAATTCAACTAGTTTGACCCAACCTATGTCCAAACTGCCATATTTTTATGAATTGGATGGATATAATTTTATGATTTTGATTCTACTTTTTAGGTTCAATTTTAGTATGTTACCTGCTACGTTTTCTACAGAAATTTTTATTTATACTTGACTAGGTTCAGCTATAAAATTTGCTATTGGTAACAAGTTGAAGTTCAGTTATAAAATTTCCACAATTATTCCTTGTGCAACCTTTTTTTTACGAAACTTCCTTGTGCAACTTTAACTATTAATATTTTGGTGTTTATTTTTCAAGGTTCCACTGGTTAGATAAGGTTTCTGTTTTCTGAAAAATATTCCTTTTCTCATTCACTATTGTACATAATTCAGAATGAAATGGCTGTGGTAAACAACACAATTTTATCGCAGCTTTACTACAATTTAGACACTTGATGCATATACACAGTTATTACTAACTAACTATGAGTAATTTAGAAAAAACAAAAGAACTGATTTTGAGGTACCTCCTTCCAAGCAGGCGCTTTTTGAGTTCTTCAATAAGCTGGTCATGATTCATTGTTTCTATCTTATTCTGCATGCTGCCATCATTGCTTTGCAGCCTGTGACCAGAGAGCAGTGGCACAACTCGCTTAACTGAGCTTTTAATACATGTCACTAGGCTCTTCTTCTCCATCTTCCCTGCGTTGCTGCCCTCATGTACCTCCTCCTTTGTCTTGATTTGACTGTCTGCTGGCTTGATTTGCCCAAGAACATCCCTTAGGACTTCATCTTCATCAAAGTTCTGAGACATTGTGACTGATGCCCAACAGTCAAATTCATTCCAGAAATCTTGGTACAGTGCCATGGCAATGGTGGTCTTTCCCACACCACCAAATCCAATCAGTGACACAACAGCTCGATGAGAGCCTTTATCATGTTTGGCTAGCCAACCTCCGAGCTTCTTCATGTCCACCTTCACTCCCACGGGGTTCTCTGTGCGGATGAGCTGACGGCTCGCCACCAAATGCTCAGCAATGCCATACGTAATAGCATGGGTTGCTCCGGCTCCGGAGCTTGTTCTTGGGTTTGGGTTGTTCACTCCATATCTGCTGCGCCACTCAGCAATGTACTGTGCCCGGACCTTGAGCTCGGCAATCTTGGAGGCAATGTCACGGTGAGGCCAGAACGTCCACATCTCGTAGACTATCGTCACGATGAAGGAGCATCTTGCATCGCTGAGAGAGTCCTGAGGGAGGCGATGAGCAAAGTCATCGATGCAGTCTTCCATGTCATATGCCATGTCACGAATCTGCTTCATCCAGTTCTTGAGCCGGCGATCATGGTCATCCAGGGCAGAGCCGAGGTCGCCAAGAAAGGCTTGCATGCTGGCGAGCTCGTCGCTGATGTACTGGATGTCGCCGCAGACGCTGCGGATCAGAGTGTACTCTTGGGCAAGGAGACCGCCCAACTTGCCTAGGAGAGATCTCATGGTGGCTTCCGAAGCACCCACTACAAACTCCATCTTCCTTATCTGTGGTCTTCACTACTACAATCTGCCTCCCGTTGTTGTAACTTGCAAGTGCAAAGACAGTGCTCAGCAGTTGTTGATCTATGGAAAGAATGGAAAAAAGGAAGATAAGGGTCAGCATTGATTATGGCTAGAAAATAATTAATCATAAAAGTCTCCACAATCAGATCATGGAACAATTCTAGCGATTATCAATTTGCCTCCAATCAAAGAAACTATACAAACAAAAGTTTCACCGATGACTGCATTTTGTGCATACAACCAAACCTAATATCATGGCTTATAGAATTTGCTAACCACAATATATATCAACACCACTAAGTTATCCCCAAAAATCAAATGAAAACCAACAATGCTTAAAGATTGCATATGATGCTGAGGAAATTGGGAATGTTGTGCACTTCATGGGATTTTCCGATTTGTACTTTCTATATGTCACAATGTTAATTAATTGAGTGAAAAACACGTTCGCAATGATGGTAGGTTGTCAAGATCAACTGCCATGGCAAGTGGAACAAAAAGCTACCAGACAACAGAAAATGGAGTTGGGGGCAAAGGAGGCACCTGCAAACTGGACAATAAGCTGGTGGTGGTTGAAGAGTCTTGAGCAGTCACTGGGCAGGGCAACCACCGTCGAAGGCATCGGCTGCACAGGTAGGTGGAAGCAGGTGCGGTATACTCCTGGCAAACTCTACCTTCATGGTTGCTTCCTAAGCACCCACTACAATCTCCATCTTCATCTTCTCTGTTGTTGCAAGTGCAGCAAAGAATGAGTGGGCCACAGAAAGTTCAAATCAAGCATAGACAGAGCTAACTTCCATTGCCACCTCCTCAGCAGTTGTCAATCTATCTATAAAAGAAAAAGGAGAAACACCGTAAAGGCGGGTCATCGATCATGGTGAGAAAAATAATTTAGGTAATGAAACACTAAATCGTCCCCAACCAAAGAACCTACCTATGGAAATATGGCAATTTGTACTCAGGTGGAAATTTACTCACTGGTAGACGAATGTGGAAACTTACTCACCGATAGATGATAGATGCTAGATAATACTCAGTCTTTTAGGCATCTAGTACACCCTGTAGTATGACTAGAAGATCTGGAAAATTAACCACAAGATTGAAACGAAAATCAACCAAATGTAGGTCTCGCATCTTTTGTCCATGCTTGCACAGTTATAAAATTAATTTTCAGGCAATTGTAGACATTACATACTTCCCAGTTTTCTTGTGAACTTGACAAGAAAACAAGAGGCTATGCTCCTGATTGGATCGATCTCTCTTCCTCTCGTCCCTCAAAAAGAAGAGAGAAACAAGGGGGAGCACCTGCGATGGTGGCCCCCAATTAGGCTTTAGCAGTCAGTGTCCGCCGTCGAAGGTGTCAGCGGCGGAGGCCTGCGTGGTGGCTCCCATCAGGGCAGAGGATTTACCAGGCGGATGGAGGGACACTGCTGCGAGCAGTGCCAGCATCTGCGTTGGATTGGTTTCTTGGGTAGAGGGCGGGGAACCAAGGATGGTGGTGAACACAAGTAAAGTAGGCAAGCTGCTGAGCTTTTGCTTTTGCTGCTTTGCTTCCTGCATGCATGATTGACATCATGGCCATGACCGTGCATGCATGAACTTTGCTACTTTGAGAAGGGAAGCATCATTCCTGGAGCATGTCACCCCAAAGACACAAAGAAAAAAGAAGCGGCGGCGTGTTATGGCCATGAATTATTCGAGGAAAGGTGTGGAAGGGGGACTGGATCAAAGGAACAAGGTGCAACATTTTTCATTAGCGTCATTTCGTTATTTATCAGGCACAACATTTTCTCTGGATTATGGAAGGCACTAAAAAATCGCACACATTATAAATTCATCATTACATCAGTACGCTTAAAGAAAAATGGCAAAGCTCGAAAGGATAGTGTTCCACAATAACAAAGAAAAAGAAAAGGGAAGGGTGGTTCTTTTGGAAAAGAACCGAGTAGCTTTGCTGGTCTCCAAGGAATGCATCCACCAAGAGGCACTCTATTCTTGGGGTAAGTAAACTAAGGCGAGCATCCTGTTCTGTTCCTTGCTTCGCTAGTACAAATGGAGCACTGCTTTTTCGAAAGCAAAAGCAGTAAAAGTAAAAAACTTCTCCAATATAAAACCGAAAAGAAGAAGATAATTATAAGCTTCCGGCTTGTGTTTGGTTATCAGTTTGGTGCAATACGTTTGAGATCGCTTGTCTTGTGGGAGTAGCCATTCATTCATTAGAAAAATCAAAGAAGCGCAATGATCAAGACAAAGAACCATTTTTCTATTTGTTGGAATCTGGGTTTGCTGCAAGAGCCAGGAGAAGCATAACTTAATCTCACCTCTCCTATGATAACCAGCTGAAGTAACCATTTGGAGGTTGATATCCACACTCCATCCAGATAGACACAATTCGCAAGGACAGCCTCCGGCTTCGACAAACACACACACACACACATAGATATTCTTTGGCGGAAGCGCTCTAGTGCATACAGCCTGCACGCCCTAGCTGAGCCATGGAGGGAGCTCCCGTGACAGCAGCCACGGGGGTCTTGGGGCCCGTCGTCGCGAAGCTGGGTGCTTTACTGGGCAGTGAGGACAAGCTTCGGCGCCAGACTCGGAAGGACATCAGGTTCATCAAATCCAAGCTCAAGTCTATGCACTCTATTCTTTGGGCGACATGGGAGAAGGAGGTTCTCCATGCGGAATCCAAGGACTTGAAGAAGGAAGCGCTGGACCTCGCCGACAACATGCACGACGTTGTCGACGACTTCATCCTCACCATGGAGCGCAGCCGCAGAAGCAAGAACCTTATGGTGCAGAGCAAGATCAAAGCTAGCCCCTTCCATGATTTCAGGGCAAGAGTAGATGATGTGTCCGCCCGGTGCCGCAGCAAGTGGAAGTCGGACAAGAAGAAGTCTGCTCAACCCATCTCCAGCTTATTTTCAAGAAAGGCCGCCAAATCCAGTACCCCCAGCAAACCGCCTCCTCTTCAAGCTCCATTTGTCAGCAAGGATGCATCAAAGCTCGTTGGTATGTGCAAATGGAGGGATGACCTCAACAAATACCTGGTAGGAGAAGAACGACAGCTCAAAATGGCATCCATTATTGGTATGGCCGGCACGGGGAAAACAACCCTTGCCCGCCTTGTTTATGGGGACGAGGCGATTGAAAATCAGTTCCAGTCCCGGGCTTTTGTGTCCGTCACTCCAACTCCCAACATGAAGGAGGTTCTCACAAGAATTCTCCAACAAGTAGGAGCTCAACCACCTGCTGGCAACCAAGCAAGGTCGGAGGAACATATCATCCACGCCATATCGAATTTCCTACAGGACAAAAGGTGCGCAAGTTTATGAATGGCTTTAATTTAATTAATGTCTTTTTGAAATGTGCACTGTGAGGGTCAGGATTTTAAATTCAGATTTTAAAATGGTGATCTCTTAAATTAATTTAGTCAAGCTGTTTGAAATTTGGTCAAGTTGTCTATAATCTTATTCTTCTGTAATTAACTTGCCTAGGTACCTAGTAATAATTGATGACATATGGCATCGTGGAGAATGGGACATCATCAGGAGGTCTTTTCCAGAAAATAATCTTGGTAGTAGAATTGTCATCACAACTCGTAATGCTACTCTACTACCAGGAGATGATTTGGAAAACAGCAAGCTCAACATCAGAATGAATACTAAATGTGATATATGGACACGAAAATGGCTCTATGGACCTGACAAGGAAGATGTCGCTGCTCAGATGAAGCCTGACATGGGTGGAGAAGGTTTCGACTGTGACCATCCTATTGTGCGCATGTGTGGTGGTGTGCCGTTAGCACTACTTTGCATCTTTTCAGCAATGGCAATGGTCCGAGAGCAACAAGAAAAACTAGGGGTACATTTAAGGGAACCTGATGTGCAAGATATGATTGAGAAGCATCTTAAGCATAACGGAATTCAGAACACTCCAGGGTTTGAACCGTTGGTAGAGAGTTTGCAGCTTGGCTACACCGAACTTCCTCACCATATGTTGAAGACCTGCTTGTTGTACTGCAGTGTATACCCTGAGAATTACCCTTTTCACATGAATGATTTGGTCATGAGATGGGTTGCTGAGGGATTTATTTATAAAGAAGATACATGAAAAGGTTATGTCGAAGAGCTTTGCAACAAGGGATTTATGCTGCGTATGGAGGGTTCATTTGGCATGCCTTACTACCAAATGAATCCGATGATGCGAAATTTCCTAAGATGGAAATTGCGTGAAGATAATTTCATTACTTGCAGTTCTGACATCACATTGGCATATGCATGTCGAATCCATCGGCTATGTATCGATGATTATCAAGTTGATGACGGTGGGGTGGAGGTGGTGGATACCTTGTTGGAGCTGGATTGGTCCCAGATTCGATCTCTTGTTGTTTTTGAAGGTGCTAAGAGATATGTCCCTTTTGAGAAGTTGGAACGTGTGCGGGTGTTGGATCTTCAGTATCATCATCATTATTTTGATTGTGAATTCGAGGCCCTTGGAAATCAGCATGTGAAGGATATATGTGGGCTGCTCCGTGTGAGGCACCTATTCGGCCTAGAAGGGACAGGAATCAGTGAGATACCACCGGAAATAGCGAGGCTGCAACATCTGGAGACTTTGCAGGTAAATTCACATGGATCACAGAGTTACCCTGTGAGATTGGGGACCTACAACAGTTGAAGACTCTGGTTGTGAGTCGCAACGATAAGCTGGCAAAGCTACCCAGGGAGATAGGGGGTCTGCAACATTTAGAGACACTGGACCTGAGCTGGACGAGGCTGATGGAGGTGCCACGTGAGATCGGGAACCTGCAGAATTTGGAGAATCTGAACCTGCATTGCACCAAGCTCAAAGCGCTGCCTCGGGAGATTGGAAAGTTGCAGCATTTGAAAACACTGAAGGTGGGCTGGGCAAGCATCACAAGGCTAGCCAGTGAAATTGGGGACATGCATCATTTAGAGACCCTGGACCTG